GCACACTCCCCGGAAGAGCACAGAGCTATCGAGACTTTAGTCTGTTTGATCACTGATTTCTCATCTCACTGATCTTGCTGACTCATGGGATGGAGAGGTGCCCGAGGATGTAGCCAAAGAGCTTCCATCTGCCGAAGTTCTTGGTCAGGCAGGCTGGCAAGGTGGCAGCCCTGCCTCTGCTCACCAGGACCCTCTCCTCCTAGAGTCGCCTCACAAGCATGAACCATACTTTTTCCTCAATTTTGAACCACAGTCTTTGGCTTAAGTATTTAGGTTTTGGGAGTAGCAAGCCAGGGCACCTGGAGTGCAGGGCAGTTTAAATCCCCAAAAGGCCCTGGCTGTGGCAGGATGAGGTGGGGGGCCCCCCCACACTGCTCAAAGCCACCAGAGGCCTTGCAGCAGCCGCTGCCTCTCTCCTCTCCTCCCTGCTGGTCCCTCACTAGCCACGCTCGTGGTCTCCCTCCACAAAGGCATCTAAAATCATCACCTTCTGCTATGGGCTGTTGGTGCCGCCCACCCACAGTGTGATGGTATCTGGAGGTAGAGCTTTGGGTGGGTAATGGGGTCATGAGGGTCATGATTGGGATTAGTGCCCTTACACGAAGAGATAAGAGAGAAATCATCTCTCTCCCTCTGCCATGTGGGGATATAAGAATGTGGCCAGAAAGAGGGCCCTCACCAGAACCTGCCCGGGCCGGCACCTGATATTGGACTTCCAGCCTCCAGAAGTGTGAGCAATGAATGTCTGTTGCTGAAGCTGCCCAGTGTGTAGTGTTTGTTGTAGAGCCTGAGGGGACTGACACATTCCCACCCCGCTGGGGTTCGCCTCCCGCCTATCCACCCCATAAAGCACTCCCACCCCAGAATAACCATAGATATCAGCCAGACTAAAATTGTGTGCATTCAGAGACTCATTCTTCACCCCTATAAACCAGCATATTTATACCCACTGACTGCATGCACACTCAGTCATATGCCTCTGGGATCATCCCGCCAGAATGAATGAGTCCTGACTACAGGATCAAGGTTTTTGCTGACATGGAACTTTATCTACTGTTTCTGGGGAACCTTCATTTGGGTGAATGACTTATATCCCCTAGGGTTTCAGTAACTCCTGACCAATGTACGTGCCTGGGGAATGCACACCTATTATATACCTCATAAATTGTGGTTCTGCTAACCTGCAATGAATACAAATATTTTTGCAAGTGCAACTTTTACTAGAAGCTTCTTCATATTGGCACATGTGGCAGTAGTAATGTTACTGATATTTCATTTGGAGTAGCCAAAACTGGGAACATAAAGACATGTCTACCCACCACTTCTCAGCACACACTTTCAAGAATATGTGAAATAGTACAGAGAGATATACTGGAGTCATTTTTTGTGACTTTATTGTTACCTCCTCCACTAGTCTTGCTTCATTTCATAACCTTCTATTTATGATAGCCTTTGAAGAGAAGGTACATGAAAAGGTACTTCTGGCATTGTGGGGCTGTCTAGTTGGGTGTCTGTTGTAGGAAGTGCTGACAGACAGTTGGAATGAAAGCATTAATACTCATGTAATGTAGGGAGAAATGTACTCATATCTGTGTGTAAAATAAGGAAATTAAGTGGTGCTCAAATTAGATTTGCTTTTCCCCCTAAAACTGGCACCATGTAAATGAGGAAGCACATGACAGCAGGTGTCAGATGACAGCCGAATTATTATGGCAAAACTGCCACGCCAGCATTGTCCAGGCGGCTGCCATCCGGTGACTTGCCCATTCATAGAGAGGCAAATGGAAAGACCACAAGAGCTGGGATGCTGAGATGGCAGCGTGGTGATTTGAGGAGCTGTTTGTCTGAAGCCCAAGAGAACTGTAAGCCCAACCTTAATTCACTGAGGCCAGAGTCCCCGTCGTCCCAGACAGATAAGCACAAATAAGATTGCCCTGTGCAAACGTGTCTCCTAAAGAGAACAATCAGTCTATGGTTCCTTGTCCACAGTTTCTGGGAAAACTGATGCTTCAGGTGCCATTTTGAAAATTGCATCCAACACAGGCCACACTGGAATGAAGACAAAGATGCCTTCTTGAAGCTACAGCTCAGAAAAACTGAAAGACATAAGGGAAAAGCAGGACTACGCTGCAGTCACTAGCTAATGCATGCAGCCCGCCTTGCCCTGGCTGGGACATTGGGTTTGCAATTTTCTTTTCTAAAGCTTTTTTTTTTTTATAACACTGACATCTTGGCCCCAAAGACAAATGTTTGCTTCCTTGTTTAGAACAAGAAGTGGGCTGTGCTGGTTTGGAAACTGTGAACGCAGTGGGCTGTTTGGTTTTTTTTTTTTTATCTCCCAGAATATATTACCTACTGACGTGATGTGAAGGGAGAGGGTCTGGTTCAAAGTAAAACCAAGCCTCTCACAAAAGCCAGCTCAATGGCCTTCTTGCGCACACATCGGAAAATAAGACAGCTGAAAGGGAGTAGGTCTGTTTAGGTGTCTCACTGTTCAGAAAACAAAACATAGTTTCCTCTTCAGTTTTCTATTTTGTAAACAATCTGGTACAATAATATTGCCTCGTGTTTTCATTTGACTGGCTCCCAGTATGGGATCAAGTTGAAAAGCTCAAAGGAAGTCCTTAGGAGGAAAGACACTGCGAGGTTCAGAATTCAAGGCTGTCCCGGGAGGAAAGGAAGGCAGGGGTGGCCAGGGAAAGCTTTGCTGGCCTGGATTTGAGCACCAAGCCTGTGGGGCCTGGAAGAGCAGGGGGCAGTTGGGGTCGGGGGTTGGCATCTGTGGTCAGGCTCCTGTCTGATAAATGCAGCAGTCACTGAAAGCAGAGCCCCAGCTGGGGGGGCTGCCCTTGGAGGGAGCTAAGCATCTGAGCCCAGTTCCAGGGTCTGGAGCCTGAAAGGGAAGCAGCAGCCGGAAGCCTGGGGGCAGCTCCCTTGCCGAAGTCTCTCTGCAGCAGGGCCTCAGCTTGCTGACACCTCCGTCCAGATGGACACTTTGACCTTGGCCACGGCCGCTCAGGTCCTCTTCTGTCCATGCCGGGCCTGGGCTTGGCTGGACTGCCACGGAGGGCAGGAGGGACGGCCATCTGCTGTGGGAGGCGTTGGCTGACAGGTGGCTCAGCGGTAGGAGAACTTTCCAGGCTGAAACGAATCCGAGGATGGGCCGGCTGCTGGGGTTGTGAGCCTCACAGGAACCCCGTTAAGGCCAAGTTGGACAGTGGGGTGGGGAGAGGCTGACAGTGAGGGACTGGGCCACCCTCATCGCCGCTGCCCTGGCGGGGCTCTGAGCAAGTCCCTGGACAGCAAGTCTGCCAGCAACAAAAGAGCCAGGCCCAAGGTGAGACAAGAGGCCCAGGGGCCATGGGAGGAGGAGGGGCCCCATACTAGACCCCTGCCCTGAACTCTTGTGTCCCGACCCCAGTCACAGTGGCCTTTGATGACCATCTCAGTAGCTTCTTTTGAAGGTGACTGTGGCTCGGTCTAAGTCAGTCACTCTCTGAGTTGAGGATGCAGTGAAGAGGGCAACCATGCATGAGGTTTCTATCCCTGGTGCCTGGGGACCAGGGGAGCACATCAGGGCCCCCTGAGAAGGAGAGGACAGCCAGCCCACCCCAGGGCTCCTCTATCAGAGGCGTGCAGTAGGATCTGGGGGGGTCTGCTTTTCCAAAACCTGAGGTTTCCTGGAAAAAAGAAACTGAAATTTACCGGGCAAACAATATCAAAGAAAGATTTAGAAAACAATGAGCACTTTGTTGAGAAAAAGAGGGACTTGTCTAAGACTTTCTTCTGAGGCTGATTATTTTTACAAAAAGGCCTGATAAATAATCATTCTTTTATTAATTCAACATCAAGTTATTGACCACCTAATGAATATATGTCACTCCATTTGCTGGGCTTTAAAATCCTAAAGCTGAAAGATGTTTTAGAGATGGAATCTTCCAGATTCGTGACTCTTCAGATGAGGAAAATGAGGCCCAAAGAAGGGACATGCCTTCACCAGTGTCGCACAGCCAAGGGCTCAAGAGAACTAGAATCCAGCTGCCTAAATCCTGCATTCCTCCCACCACCACCCACCTAACCCCTGGCTGCCCAATGGGAACTACAGACATATTTTGTTTTTCCTATCAGTGTTTTTCTGCCAATTTTAAGGAAGACTCCAGATGCCCATCTTTCCTTATTAAGATTTGACCACGGAGGACACTGGGCGTGTTTCCCACAGGCAGGAATCTGCTGAGCCATGTCTCCCTTCAAAAAGAGCCCAGGGCCTCACTTGGCCAGAAGCCTGCTCTCTGCATGTCCCCCACCTGGCCCCTGAGGGCGGTGAGTTTGCAGAGACAGCGTGGGGAGAAGAGGCTGGGAGACAGAGCCACGGCTGACCGCTTCCGCCCTGGCCCTGCAAGAGGAGCGTCGGCCTGGACTCTCAGTGGCCAAACCTGTTAGTCATTCGAACATAAGAAAAGAATGGTTATAAAAACATACAAACCAAAAGCACGACTGACATATTTACATCTACATTATGAACATTTATTGTGCCTGGATTTCTGTGGAGTCTGAAGCCGTGGTCCCAGAACACAGGAATTCTTTTCTAGAGGACACTGGCACGGCCAGCGGGCCATAAAGGTTCAAAAGCTTCCCTTGGCCTTTCTCCTGGCCCCTCAACACCTGCCAGGGAGAGGTTTTGCCCACTGCCCGCTTCCCTAGCCAGCTGGGACCAATTGCCTCCTTCTCAGAGTCGGACCCAACCTCTCAGCAGCCCCACACCTGCCCCACCCCCACAAGAGAGGCGATTGGTAGCTGGAGGAGGGCCTGGGGCACGGGGGCTGCATTTCTGATCAGTTCAGGCAGGAATTCACCCTGACACTCCACGTGAGGGAAGGGGGTTCGCTCTGCAAATGAACTATGTTCGCACAGCAGAAGGTAAATGTTTAACCTACAGAGAGGATACTTTGAAAACACTTAGCTGCCCTTTTCCGCAGACAGTCCACCTGCTAATTGTAAAGAATTACATTAAAATGGGCCCAGCCTGACTCCGGACTTTCTCAGACCAGGAGCACCTGGCAGCAGCCAGCGAGCCAGGCCCTATGGGCCTTCTCCAACCCAGGAGAGCTTTTCTGTGTTTATTTGAATGAACTGCGTGTTATACAACATCTGCAAACAGGACAAACGGATTAAGTCTCTTTAGGTCATTTTATTAAAGGACACGGAGCAGGACTGGGGGTGATGGAGACGTCATCACAGCCATTCACCAGGAAAACGCCGCCGTCCTGCCCAGCAGGCACTCACTCTGGAGGTAAGAGCTGGAGAGACCTCGATCCCTCCAAAGCGGGCAGTGGGGAGGAGGGGTGGAAACAAAAGGTCTAAGGGCAGTGTGAGCCCTGCCACCAGCGAGGTGACGGTCATGTCAGGCGTTGTCCGGGCTGCCCCCTCTCCCTGCTTTCAGACCCTGCTCCTCCCATCCTCTCCCATCCCGCTGGGCTGTCCCCCACCAGCCCAGCCCGCAGCCCAGTCTCCCACTCTGCCGGCTGCCAGCAGTGGCTCCACAGTGTGGCCTCAGGCAGGGAGCAGCTCCTTGGAGGCAGGAACCACACCACCACATGGTGCCCATTTGTCCCCACTCCCTCCCTACATCCCCAAGCACCTCAGACAGTGCCAAGCCCAAAGTAGATGCTTAGTAAGTGCTGGCGGAAATCAGAGCTTAGCACTGCAGGGAAAGATGTGGGAAATCTACAAGAATAATGTGGGAACTTTAAGAAGTTTGATACAAAATATTCCAAGGCCAGAGATTCCTAAGGAAAGCACCTTATTTGGAAGTTGTGAATCATCCCTTAATTATTTCAAGTGTGGTTCCCTGAGCACCTGCTGTGAACAAGGGTCCAGGCTGGGGACAGGGCAGTGAGGCCCAAAGGCACGTGGTTGGAGATGGTATCCACTCTCAAGGTCAAGCAAGTAGAGGGGGGGATCTGAGAGTGAGTCCCTCCGTCCACTGTCCAGTTTGTGCCTCAGGCCTTCCTGCCTCCTGGTTGCCCCCCTGCTCTAAGCAACAGCCATTTTGATACCTCCCAGGGCTGTGGGCTGAAGGGGTCCAGCTTGGGGCGTTCCCAAGGGGCTCGCCAGAGAGCTCACGAAGTGGCAGCTGATGGGCAGCTGAGGCTGCAGTCATCCAAGGGTTCTGCTGACATGTCAGGGCAGCTGGGCATTGCCCACAAGGTGCTGCCACAGGGCCTCTCCAGGGCAGGCAGTGTCACGAGGCAGTTCAGGCATCCCAAGAGTGAGGCTTCTAAAGGGAGGGAGGTGAAGTCGCCAATCCCGAGAGACAGCCTGGCAGCAGCCCAGCTGCACTTGTGGTCCGTTGGGTCTGAGGACTAGCCCACATCCATGCAGTGGAATGCACACCACCTCCCCATAGAGAATGTGACAAAGAATGTGTGACCGTTTTAATCTGCCATGATGACTTAGAGAATAAACCATTCCCTATTTCAATAGGGGTTGTGAAAATAGGAAGATTGGATGACCTGAGCAGGAATCTGGGCTCTGCCACTCTCTGTGAGTTTTGTTTCTGTCATTTATTAAATGGAGATGCTAATGCCTGCCCAACAAATATCTATTAAATGCCTACTATGTGCCAAACACTATGGCAGGTACTGGGGATAGGATGGTGAACCAGACAGATGACCCTGCTCCTAGTGAAATTTTATTCAAATGAGAGAAATAGATTGTTTCAAAAAGAGACAAATACATTAATTATACATTGTAATAAGTTATATGAAGGAAGAGGCTGAAATAAGGAACAGATTGGAGATATGGTGGGGGAGAGCTCTTCCAGGATGCCCAGGAGGGGCATCGGGCTGAGACCCCAGTGCTGGAGGGAGCTGAGCGCCGGGCTCTGGGGCAGGAGGGGTGGGAGGTAGTAGTGGTTCTAGCTGGGAGGCAGGGGGCGAGTCTTTGTGGAGGAAAACACATTTGTTCGCTGGCTTACTGCTCATCCTGAAAAGGTAAGTTAAAAAAAAACAAACCATGAAATAATCAATTTGCAAATGCATTATGAGCACAGAATGCCAAGAACTAGCAGCTCTGGGACCGAGAAGTATGTGGTATTGACTTTTTATGGAAGGCTTGAATGATGGAGCATAAATAACCCCCCTGATGTTTTTAAGAGTAATAAAATGAAGCTTTGCTCTCCCCCAAAGCCCAGCCCTCGTGGGGATGTTCACGCCCCACATGCTAACACTGCAGGGGCAAGGATGGCGGGGGTAGGACTTCAGCACACCGCTTACCTGCACGTGGCCCTATTCTCGCGGGGTTCCCACCGCCCAGCTGTACCGGCCCCGCCTGGATCTTCCTTCCCCACATTCACCCAGGGCCGGGAACTGGACCCTGTGGCCGGTCTTTCTCTCCACCCAGACCTACTGGGTGACCTCAGAGATGCATATAACCTCCCCTGCCCTCCACCCACCCTTGCCAGCCTCCCCCACAGCTGTGTTCCATGGCTCTGCATGGCACAGAACTGCTCCAATGCAGTGATAGCAAATGCCAGGGCACCACCCTCTGACTGCCGTTTGCCTTGCCTCCCCCAGAATGTGTCCCTCGTCACCCCACCTCACATTCTCCTCCACATTTCAGGAACCTTGGGACCCATTGAGATTCTGTGAGTCTCTCCTCCTGGCTTCGCTTTCATCCTAATCATTCTAGGTGTCATTTGCTTGTAAGCACTGCCTTGATAATACCCTCAGCTTCACCTTCAAACCACACTTGCTGATGAACCACTTCTAAATAGACCGCTCAAGACCCCGACTGAACCCCCACTTCTCTCTTAACCCAGCCCAGTCAGGTTTCCACCACCAGTACTCCTTAGAAATGCTTTCATCAGCTTTACCAGTGACCTCCAGACCGCTAAGCCCACTCTCAGCTCCCATATTCCTCGAACCATCAGCTGCACTTCCTCCTCCCTGACTCATGTTCCCTACGTGGCTCTCTGGGCTTCCCTCCCATACGGATTGCGGCTGCTTAGGTTTATGCCGGTTCTTCTTCTGGCTTGGCTTTGGAGGACCCAGCCCTCAGTCCTTGGACTTCTCCTGTGTCCACGTTTACGCTCTCAATTATCTCATACAATCTCATGACTTTAAATAAAATGTATATCTGACGATCCCAAAATATGTATGTTTCTAGCCTAGAGGCATCTCCTAAACTCAATACTTGCATAGCCAATGGCTCACGCAGCAAACACCCTAAGCACGTCCAAACTGAATTTTTGACCTTTCCCCCGAAACCTGCCCCATCCCCAGTCTTCCCCAACTCAACTGGTACTAACTCCATCTTTACAAATTTCTCGAGCTCCTCATTCTAACTTCAAAATATATCCAGTTATGGTTAGTGATGAGAAGTTCCAATCCAATGGACTCTTGTGCAGATAATACAATATAAAAATGTAACTACCTAACGGCACTGGCCAGCAGCCCAGAGCAGACAGACTCGGAGGGGAGTGAACACCTGGGGGAAGCGTGTGGCACTGAACAAGTTTCCGGCTCTGTGGGTGTTTCCAAGGCTCAGACCTACACCAAGTGGGCAGTTGAAAGTCCAGTGGAAAACCTTTAGGCTTTCAGGTTTGAAGAAGTAGGAGAGAGAGTTCTAATCAACCATATTTGATGGAAAATGAGGGGAGAAAGGTTGGAGAGGAGAAAACCACAAAAATAAAGCCCTAAATTCTGGATGTAAACTCAACCCTCTTGCTGACTCCAAACCACCCATAAGAAGGACAGATTCCAGAGGCCCAGCTGAGGCTAGAAGGACCGAACTGGTATCTGAGCAGCCACAGGGAAGTTTAGCTGGAATCCAACCAAGTGAAGTGCCTGCTTAAAAAAATAAGCATTCTTCAGAGGAACAGGATGGAAGCTAGTATCTCCGCAACAGAATATTTGCAGTGCAATCCAAGATTGCCCAGCATAAAGAAACAGGAAAATGTGACCTATTTTTCAAGAGAAAAGACAATTTGTAAAAGACTACCTTTCTGTATTTTTTAAATGTTCATAATAACATATAGGAAATTATGAAAAATACACATTTCCAGAATCTGACCACATCTTTCCACCTCCATTGTCATTGCCCTGAGTAAATGACAGGTGGGAACACCACACTAGCCTCCAAACGGATCCTCTGTAGCTACCTTTGCCCCCTAGGGTCTACTCCCAACACAGCACCCAGAGAAATCCTCTCAAAATAGAAGTCTGACTATAGCAGCCTCTGCTCAGAACCCTCCAATGGCCACCATCTCACTCGAAATAAAAGCTGGAGCCTTACAGTGTTTTGCCCATTCGGGCTGCTAGAACGGAGTCTCATAGGCTGGGTGGCTTATAAACAACAGATGTTTATTTCTCAGTCCTGGAGGCTGGAAGTCCAAAGTCAAGGTTCTGGCAGGTCTGGTGTCTGGTGAGAGCTCCCTCCTGGGTCACAGACAGCTGCCTCCTCACTGTCCTCACGGGGCAGAGCGCTGGGGAGCTCTCTGAGGTCTGTCCTCTAAGGGCACTAATCCCATTTGTAAGGGCTTCAGCCTCATGACCTAATCACCTCCCAAAGACCCCGCCTCCTCCTACCATCATCTTGGGGTTAGGATTCAACATATGAACTTTGAGGGGGACACACACATTCAGTCCATAGCGACAACCTCGGTGGCCTGGCCCCTGTCCTTGCGCTTCTGTTAGAGCTTCCCCTTCACTCACCGGGTGACCCTCGCATCAGCCTCCTTGCTGCTCCTCAAACACGCCAAGTATGCTCCCCCCTTTGAGTCCAGTATTCCTTCTGCTGGACACTCTTCTCCCATATTCTTCCTTGGTTAACTCTCCTTCAACTCTTTAACCAAATTCAACTTTCCCGCTGAGGCCACCCTGACCCCCTCCAAATACTGCAACCTTCTCCCACCTCCACCCTCAGCCCTTGGGCTCCCCTCAACCTTCTCTGATTATTCTTTCCATAAGACCTTTCACCCCCTGACATACTATGTAATTTTCCTCCTGTTGTGTCAACTATGCATGGTAGGTCTTCTCAGCTACACAGACGGGAATCTTTGTTTTGTTCAGCAGTGTGTCCCACAGCCCCGTACAGCGCCTGACTCACAACAGGCACACACAACCATGGAAATGAATGAACACATTAAATAGTGCTGGAGAAAACCACATAGTTGTGAGCGCCAATACCACCAAAATTATGGTCAGGCTAAGTACATGTGTCTCTCCTGTGCAAGGTTCCATCGAAATGAAAAAGAGGAGATATTTTTAAAAATTAAGACAAGCAGTCTTGAAAGACAAGACTGCAGCCAACTAGGGAGTTGGAGGAACCTCTGGAAGGTAAGGAGCAAGTGGACCGGGTTGTTGGCTACACTCGCAGGGAGTCAGCACGTATGCAGCACCTTCTGTGATCAGGCACCGTCCTCCGTGCTGAGGCACAGCAGTCAGCAAATGTCCGACTCTCCAGGAGCATAGGGAAGGCTTGCAGAAAATCAACAGGGAACAGACAAACACTGCTTTATACAGACAGGTGCTATGAAGAAAATAACACCTGGTAATTTGTTATCGGATTGGATCCTAGTCACAAGAGAAAAAGGAGCAGGAAATGAGATTTGCTAGGTAGGCAAGGGCCGGATCCCACTTGGTGCCCTGTAAGAAGTTTGGATTTTTATTCTACTTGCAGTGGGAAGCCAGTGGATGGATGAAAGCAGAGAAGTGACATGATTAGATACACATTTTTAAAAGACGTTTCTGGTTTCTGCATGTAGGATAGACTGTGGGGGGCAGAGAGCAGGAGTAGAGGCCGGGAGGTGGGTTAGGAGACATTTATAGTGATCTGGGTAAAATTAGACCGTGCTGGGACAAGGGCGCAGCGGTGAAAGTGCCAGGAAGTCTTTGAAGCTTGGCCTGGTGTGGAGGTACCCCCAACAGGAATTGCTAATATACTGGATGCCAAGCGTGAGGGAAAGAGAGGGATCAGTTGTGAATACTGTTTGGGGCCTGACCAACAAATAGATGGTGATACAATTTACTGATTTGTGAGAGTTCCTGCTGGGCTCAAACACACACACCAACGGGTCTGCCAAATGGGTAGCTGCCCTCCCTGACGGTTCTGTCCAGATTCTAATGCATGGGGCTTATAAACTGGCAGGCCCCTCTGTAGGGAACACTGGGGTAAAGCAGGTTATATGAGAACCCACATTTAGCCAAAAAGGAAAACTATAAGCCACTAGCCTTCGTGAACATAGATGCAAAATCTAACAAATATGTGCAAATCAATTTCAGTGATAACTTCTGGCTTCCAGTTCTGCCTGTCAGGAGCCTGGAAGTGGCCACTCCATCCCAACAGCAGATAGAGAACTGAATAGAATGGATCCGTAAGAGAGGGGACAACACAAGGCAAACCTCTGCCCCCACGCGTGGAGACAAAGGCAGATAGGTCCGTCACGGCTTATCCAAGCAGAGACCTCTGAGGGAACAATACCCACGTGGGGCAGGGACAGATCTAGGGTGGACACCATGCGGGAGGCTTGGGCGGGCAAGTCT